AAAAAAAAAAAAAAAAAAAAAAAAAAAAGAGAAGAAAAAAAAGTACTTTAATTCCTTTAGTAGAGGATGTTTCTCTCTCCATCATAAGTCTCGCTCTCTTTACAGAGAATGTTTAGACAGTAGTGTTTTCATTTAGATTTCCTTAAAGCCATTGTAAGCAAGCTAAAAATATAAAGTTTTTAGTCAAATAACTTTTATTTCATGTGTAGATCATTTTTTTTCTCAATCTTAATTCTGTTATTTTATTTAAGATAAATTGACATAATTTCAGATGTACTTAAAATAATTTGCTTTTGTCATATAAATAGTTTTAAATATTTTTTTTCTCATAAAACTCTATAATAAATCTGTATGGAAGGCAGTAGTTATTAAAGAGCAGTGCATAGTGTAAACCTCCTTTACATTTCAGTTTAAGTATGTACAAAAAGAAAAATTCAAGACATTTTAGTATAATTTAAAACATAATAAAACTACCACAACAGTCCAGAAATAAATTCAAGCTTTTCTTTTTTCACATTGTTTTTGTTTTGTTTTTTCTCTCTGTGTAGCTTCACACATACTGCACATGTTTACAGCTCCCCCCCACCCCCCATGCTGTGTGCTGTTCCAGAGGTGAAGAGTTCAGCTGGTGTCAGTGAGCTGCAGGGGCTTCAGTCAGAGCACTCGACAGGCACGTCTCCGCCAGCTGGGACAGATATTTCTGTCAAAATAATGAATTAAATGGATTTAACCTCAATTTATACAACTAATTACACTGACCAAGACCTTTTTAATGTTAGTTGAGACGTATGCACTAGTGACATCTAGGTTTAACCAAACTAACAACAACACCAGGAGCCGTTGTCCACCAGACGTGCTCTAGCATGTCATCCAACACCCTTTCCCTTTCTGATCAGATATCCCTCCTATGTAAGGAGTATCTGACTCCTGTTAATGCTGGGATGGCAACAAGTAACAAAGACACTGAAAAAATAAGAAAATGTAAAAAAAAAAAACCTCTTTAATTAAACTTTTTTTTAATTAAAGTATCATAATATTGCACTTGACATTTTACAAAACTCCAACTCCAAATGTAGCTAAAACAAATTGATAAATAAAAAAAATCCTGTGTATTTTTAAAACACATAAGATTATTTTAAAATGATTGACCCAAAAAATTATTGACACCCCTAATTGTCCCTATAAAACACTCCCTTCTAATATGCTATTTAACATTTGTACTAATGTAAATATTAAGTGTCAAGGAACCCTAAACCATTTTGGGGTATAGCTATAATATGACTTATTTATTTTGCTTAGTCTTCACACTAATTGTTAGAAATTATCTCACAAACCCAATGGCTGATAGTGGCAGCACTACTGTAGACACTTAACACAATTGAGTGTTTGCTGTAAAATATCTGTATACTTCTTTATTTTATGTATATCTGTTGATAATTTGTGTAATTAGATACAAAAAATAAAACAGAAAGTGGAATAGGAACTATTCCACTTTAACTTTTTTATCCTTTATGAAAATATATAGCTAAATATCTTATAAAAACAAATATAGGCATATTTCAATTACTTTCTTTTCCACCTACAGTAAAAACAAAACCCTACCAGTAAAGCTAATCCACAAGTAGTAATAGTCAAATGTTAAAGTTGACAAAGTGAAACAAAAACCTTGCGATAATTTTTTTTTTGTCACAATCATAAATTAACCTTCTTAGTTTCTCAATATGTAATTGAGTTTCCCTTGCATTGCAGAAAAAGACTTAAACTACTTCACGTTAAGGGCCACAT